AAAACGATTTTTTACGAAAAACGTCCATAACTTTTGATCTAATTGATATTTTTGAACAAATGAGGTCTCAAAATTTTGCTCCAAATTTGCTCCGTTTAGAGCAATAAATGTTATAATTTGGTTTTTAATCGTTTCTTTTGTAAATTAAAAGAAACGTTTTTGTGATAAATCTAGAGAATTTTCGTCGAAAAACGTCATAACTTTTTGTCAAAGTGGTATTTTGCAATAAATAAGGTCTCAAAATAATGCTCCCAGTTTGCTCCATTCGAATAAATCAATTTCATAAAATGCATCTTTGAATTTTTGTTTAAATAGAAAAAACAATGTTTTTGTCCAAAATCTAGGGGTTTTTATTAAGCGCGCAAGCGCATCGGCATGGAGTGTATAATCAAGACGTCAAAACAGTGAAGAAGTATCAGTGTTTATTTATAAATAAATAGAAAAATAGATTAAAAATGGTGCGGAATAATAAATATAAGTATAATAAATAATACTATTATAAGTTAATAAATTACAATAAAATATTATTAGTAATAATATTCACTTATAATACTATTATTTATTATACTTTTTATTATTCCGCACCGTTTTTAATCTATTTTTCTATTTATTTATAAATAAACACTGACACTTTTTCACTGTTTTGACGTCTTGATTATAACACTCCATGCCGATGCGCTTGCACGCTTAATAAAAACCTCTAGATTTTGGACAAAAACATTGTTTTTTCTATTTAAACAAAAATGCAAAGATGCATTTTATGAAATTGATTTATTCGAATGGAGCAAACCGGGAGCATTATTTATTGCAAAATACCACTTTGACAAAAAGTTATAACGTTTTTCGACGAAAAATCCCTAGATTTATCACAAGAACGTTTCTTTTAATTTACAAAAGAAACTATTAAAAACCAATTGATAACATTTATTGCTCCGAACAGAGCAAATTTGGAGCAAAATTTTGAGACCTCATTTGTTCAAAAATATCAATTAGATCAAAAGTTATGGACGTTTTCCGTAAAAAATCATTTTTTGGATTTTTTAAAAAAACTAAAAGGAAGCAATTTTTTATATTTATCAATATGGACGGAGCAAATGGGGAGCATTATTTTGAGTTATTGATCGTTCAGAAATTTTCATTTCCGAACGGAGCAAATTTGGAGCAAAATTTTGAACCTCATTTGTTCAAAAATATCAATTAGATCAAAAGTTATGGACGTTTTCCGCAAAAAATGGTTTTTTGGATTTTTTAAAAAAACTAAAAGGGAGCAATTTTTTATATTTATCAATATAGACGGAGCAAATCGGGAGCATTATTTTGAGTTATTGATCGTTCAGAAATTTTCATCTTGCGGGCTAACTTTACGAGGGTATTGTATAGGTCGAGACACAGACTTTTTTGCATAACGCTGCATAACGCACAAGACATAAGGCATAAGAAAATCAACCAATCAGAATATGAAATGAAGGACTCTGATTAGTTGATTCTCTTATGCTTTACGTCTTATGCGTTATGCAGCGTTATGCAAAAGTCTGTGTCTCGGCCTTATGCCTTTTAAGGGGTTAGGCCAGTCTAGAGCCCTCAAAAAAGGCCTAACTTTAACAATTTATTCTGGGAGTAAGGAAAAAGGAATCGAATTTCTCTCTTTCAGGCTTTATTAAACATGTATTTGAGTGTATAAAAAAATTTTGATATTGACATTTTGATACAAAATGGCGGCTACTGGGCCAATCTTCGGAATCACCTTTTTCAAGAGGGCCTCTACGGGCGACGGTGATTCTAGGAACTCGTGCTATCTGAAACAAAATAAAGAACGGGATCTTAATCTACTTAAGACTTGCTAGTAAAGTACGTATGTTTTTAGCTTTACATCAATTTTTCGCAAAATGGCGGACTTGTAAAAAAAAGATTCAATTTTTGACCGAAAAAATGAG